TCAGCCCACGAATTTGTACAATGAACACACGAAAAGTAAAGGCAACAATGTAAAGGAACACACTGATTTACGGGTAAATTCAACTCGTTTATTACTCTACAATAATACAAGAAAATGAAGGAATACTGAAGGAACACAAAACACACTATGCCTCATCGGTCTAGCCTTCCCAATTTATAGACCAAAATTCGTATGCAGTTAACACCCTTAACTGCATAAGGGATAAACCAACCCAGATGGTGTAGAACTGCCAGAAACTGATTCCCACAACCATTCCTAGCAACAACCCATACTTTCCCCCAGTATGGATGACGAAAACTGCCCAGCACATGTGTGAAACATGTACCCAATTTGGACATCCGAATTTGTGGACTAAAGCCCACTAACAGCAAGTTGGATCAGCTCATGCCTTGCCAATCTGCAATACTTTGACACTAGCCAAATTGAAGCCTACATTTTCCTTGCTCCGAAAATCCGAAGTGTGCACCATCAACACACCTATCCGCAAAATCCTGACATGAGTGCAAGACGTGTTCATGTCATTATGCATGTCAACCTTTAAGGGGCTGAAAAACCTTTCCTAACAGAAGAGTCTGATGTCATCGTCGGAAGAGAATCAAGATACTCCTTCAGCTTATCCTCGAACTACGACAAATCGACATCCCTTTCATAGGTTGCATCAACCCCGTTCTACCTTTCCACAAGACAAGATAGTCTGTTCTTCTATTCTTCTTACTTGCCCCCATTATTCGATGACCCATAATCTTTGCCACCTCCTTATCATACTGTTTTCTGATCATAGGAGGAGCTCTCTTGGCCTGTAAACAATCTTCTCCCACCAAACTTTCATTAAAAGGTTTCAGATAGTTCACGCGAAAAGTAGGATGAACCTTCAAATGATCAGGCAGCTTCAGTCGATATGTTACCTTCCCAACACGCTTGATTACTTTGAATGGACCGTCATATTTTTGAACTAGCCCACGATGCAGGGTCTTTCTACTAATCTATTTCCAAATCTGGGGAGTTAATTTCAACAGCACTTTATTCCTAACCTAGAACTCCACACCCCTCATGTTCCGATCAGAATACTTATCTATTCGTCGAGCAGCCTTCGTAAGACTGTCATTTGCTTGCTCAATCATATCCTATTTGTCTTGAGCAAACCGAAAAGTAGTTGGACATACACTGCATCCCCCTTCTTTTACAATCTCGAGAGGCATCTTGGGCATATGCCGCATAGTTAACTCGGTCGGACACATCCCCATAGCAAAAGATCGATATAGATTATAGCAAACCTGAGTCGTATCAAGCAAGGCAAATTAGTTGTTCTGACTTGCTGTAACATAGTGTTTGAGGTATTCCTCCAGCAATGCATTTATCCTTTCCGTCTGAACATTGTCTGCAGATGATTTACTGTTGAAAACTTCAATTAAAACCCCGTCATGTTGAACAGTATGGTCCAAAATTTGCTTGTAAATCTAGAATCCCGATCACTCACAATATCTTCGGGTATTCCAAAGTACTTTACCACATTCTTGAAGAATACTCCAGCAGCAACATCCACTATACACTCATATGGAGCTGGAATAAAGATTGAATATTTTGATAACCTGTCCACCACCACCATAATGGACTTGAACTTATCAACCTTCGGGAAACCTGAAATGATATCCATGGAAATCAACTACTAGAGCTGTTCTGGAACTAGCAAAGGCTGGAGCAAACCTGTCTGTTTTCTCCTTTTTGTTTTATCCTGCGACACACCAAGCAACATTTCACATAAGCCTCTACCTCGTCACCCATCTTTGGCAAGTAATACAATTTCGAAAGCAAAGAGAGCATCCTTTCGATGCCCGAATGGCCTGCCTATAGTAGATCATGAGTTTCCTTCAACAGTATTTGCCTTAGTCCCCCACCTGAAGGCACATACAACCTGCTGTCTTTGGCATAGATCAAACCATCTTTAATCCAAGAACATCTTACCAAGCCATCCTTAATCTCTTGCAGCAACTTGGTATAAGCGACATCCATTTCAGCCCATTGTTTGATTTTGTCAAGAAAATCATATTCGACTGTCATTAAAGCCGAAACATAAGCTCCCATAGATTTTCGATTGAGTGCATCAGCAACTTGATTCTACTTGCCTGGCTTGTGAACCCACAC